TTGCCGGCAACAAAGAACTATTGATATTCGTCTTTTGTTAAACATAAGCATCTCGATTCCGCGGTGAATGGCTGTCCGGCTGCCGCCACTGCCATAGCTGTGTTGCCACACGAGATCCTAGCTCACACGCACACAATCAGAGAACCCCGTACATGTACTGCGCAGAGCGCTCGGCGCAGTACAAGTACGAGGTTCTTTGATTGTGTGCATGTTAGCTGGGACCTCGTTCTGGCAACAATATACTTTCTACCATTTTCTCTTAAAAAATGACTTTCTCGTAAGAGTCGCCAAAATTTCTTTTAGGGGCTTTTATTTTAACCTGAAAGGAAGCTTTTCACAAAGTTTCATCGAAATCAGAGACGGGCCCTTTTCGGAACTTTATCCGAATTTGTAATATAAAAAAAATGTTTTTAAAAATATACATATTATTATCACATAAATTAAAATATAACTATTATCTCCAATTCGATAAATAAAAATATAAATATTATCTCTAACACATTTTTATAAAAATAATATGTAATTATAATGTTATTTTCAATATTAGTAAGTGATTTTTTTGGTATTAATTAATATATAATTATAATTAATATATTATTATATATGTAATTTTCGAAAGTACAATTATTTTCGAGATAGTTTAAAATCCCCCTACGGGATGGTTCCACTTCCGGATATAACCAAACCCAAACCTATTTCCGATTTAGTTTCGCGTCCGAAGCACAGGGCGATATGGATGTGCAAAATAATAATTTTTGGTCGGTAAAACAGACGAGCTTTTGGATCCCCTTAATGGTATTCTTAAAAACATAGTGGTTCTTCATTCAAGCATTAAATATCTGAAAAAAATAGTCAAAAGTTGCCTCATTTTCTCATAGTTTAAAGTCCACTAAAGACAACTAACGGTCAGCAAAGTTTCTTTTACTCTTTGATTTTTTGTAGGAAGACAAATCCAAAAAGATACCCGGTTTTACCCTACTTTTCCCCATATGTATTTGTGTATGTGCAAAATAATTTTAAAAATCTTTGAAAGTTATGTGTCCAATTGATTCTAGATTCGCGTTTATAGTAAACAAAAAGTTTAGATTTATCACCACTGTTCAATTTGTAGTGAGTATATTGGTGAGTATATTGTGTTTTTGCATCTACTGACACAGATTGACATAAATGCGAAATATATTCAAATAATGTTATACATGTGTTGCATGCTGACACTAAATCTCTTTTTATTGCTGGTACAGAAACAAAGTCAAGCTTAAGGTGTGCACTTTTTAAAATATATTTCTTTTCTTACGCATGATTTTTTTTATCTTTTCTTATATTTTATTTTATATGGCATATCGAATTTGTTTATATTATGCATGCATATTTACGTTTAATGTAACGTTATTGCATCAGAGATATACTAAAACATACTATTTTACTAGAATTAATTTTTATTTAAAATCATTATTTTAATCTTCTAGTCTTTTTACCTCATTTTTTGTATAGATATATAGAATCAATTTGCAAAATAATGCGTATAATTTGAATATTTATATCTCATCTTATAACTAAAATTATTTAATTATTTTCCCATATTTTTAAGTATAGAGTCAACAACTGGTAATGTGTTCGAAATGGAATGGCTTACTTTGAATCATAACGTGAAAAGAAGTTTGTTAATAATTATGACACGCAATATGATACCTATTGAATTTACCAATGCCTATGTTATCTCTATGAATCTTGAATCATTTGTTGGTGTTAGCATAAAAATTTATTTTTACTTTTAAATGATCGCGGTTTTGCATTTATAAATACGATTATTACTTATACCTTGACACAGATATAACATCAATAAATCCATTTAAAATAGAATTTATAATTAGATTAAAATTAAACTTAATTAAGTTTTTATTTAATAGACAAATTAATTATAAATAATTTATAAATTTAAGATTCAAAATTTTTATTTGTGCTGGCATATTATTGTTTATGTTGTTAGGTTTTATGTTTTATATATATAAGAAATAGATTATTAATTTATCATGGGGATACATAATAAACAAATGACCACTTATTGCCGTTGCTCAAGACATCGTATTCCAACAAATGCAGAATTAAGTGGCAAAAATTAACAGTAGAAGAATATAAATACTATTTTTATTACAGGCAGCAGTTACTAACTGGCTTATGAATAAATTCTGAGATAGCTCAAGTGGCCACAAAGAAGGAGAAAAGATAAACTATGGATATAATCTCATATAAATGATGCAATTATTTTAAATGATCAAATATTTTTATTCTTCTTTGACACCACTTACTAATAATAAAATATTATTTTAAATGGTTTTAGTTTTACAATATTGTATGTCATAAAACCAATATCTGAGAGAACTTTGCTTTTTATGATTAATGTATGAGAATATTATATCCGAGAAACACAATTGCAGCCTGAATAATAAAAGTTGTTAATCAAAGAAGGTTTTGTCGAGAAACCGCGAGACTCTAGACATTTGTCAGTCTCTTAGAAGATTCTACAGCGAGTTATACTATTATATAAAAACAATACTAACATCACAGCAATTAAAAACATGTAAAATAAAATTGACTAACGGTTAATTGTTTCAATTTTTAATTTACACACAAAGTGCGGCCGATAAATATCTGTCTATAAAATTTTATAATAAATAATTATAAAGCGTATATATTTACAATCTTGTCTGTAATCTAAAAGAAGGAGACTATCATAAGTTAAATAATTTATTTTTCATCATATTTGAAAAATAAACAGTTAGAGTAATTTAAAGTTACAATGCGCGTATTAAAATTTACATTAAAAATTTTAACAATCTGTGATTGCTGGACACCGGATTCTTGGACATCTTTCTACAAACGTCTCCTATATCATGTATATGCAATTTTTATATTTGCATTAGTAAAATTGGCAATAGTCAATTACAGAGTGAACATGCTGCATTATACGATTCTAGTTGAATTCTCAAACTCATATTCGGCGATACAATCATTGTTCACGGACTATTGAGAAGGGAAGTTAACGTTGGAGTCTGGTTGCCATTCGATTACTCCTCGATAATACTTTTTCACTTTATGTATTTTCATCAATTGATAGGTTTACTTATTGGGGCTTTTCTACATGTTGCTTGCGACAGTCTAATATGTGGTTTAATATTGCACATATGCTGTCAAATAGAGATATTGAATTTTCGCTTGAAAAGAGTCATATGTAATCCAAAAATTCTTCGTGACTATAACATTCAATATAATCTCATGATCAAGTTTATTTCACATAATTAGTATTTTATTTTATTAGAATTATATATTTCTTTTTTATAATTTCCATATGATCGTAACACACATAATAGTATTTTTATTACTAGGCTATAAAAGATAAAATATGAAGAAGATTCTAAAATAATATTGTGATTAACAATTTTGGATGTTAATAATATTTTATTTATAATTTTCCGGAGTACAAAATTTTTTTAATTTTTGATAAAAAGCATCATACTCTCTTATGCTTATAGTATGAGACAAATCAATTAGTGTAAAGAAAAAAACAAATAATTGTTTTAAAAAATACATTGATCGTCTCCTGCTTTAAAATGTCTAGTTCGTTAGTGAATCGAAATAATATCGCGATGCTAACAGATATCCTTATGAAAAAACCGTGTAGGCCAATCGAACCGGACGAGATGGAAATTCGACAGAAATTCGATAGACTTATCGAGAAAGTATGTATTACGACATAACTTTTTAATTGTTATATATGGAATAATAATACATAGTCTTTGATCTAAAAATTTTACAACTTTGTTAGCAACTTTCTCTTAATAAGATTATTAGAAAAAACAGTGATTATAATAATTAATATTAAGAAGAATATATTAAATATAACGAGCAATTGTAAAAGAGCAAATAAATAGACAATGTAAAATTCCCAATAGTCAATTACAGAGTGAACACGCTGCATTATGCGATTCTAGTTGAATTTTCAAGCTCATACTCGGCGATACAATCATTGTTCACGGACTTTTGAGAAGGGAAGTTAACGTTCAGAGTCTGGTTGCCATTCAATTACTCCTCGATAGTACTTTTTCACATTATGTATTTTCATCAATTGATAGATTTACTTGTTGGAGCTTTTCTACATGTTGCTTGCGATAGTCTGATATGTGGTTTAATATTGCACATATGCTGTCAAATAGAGATATTGAATTTTCGCTTGAAAAGAGTCATACGTAATCCAAAAATTCTTTGTGACTACATTGTTCAGTATAATCTCATGATCAAGTTTATTTCACATAATTAGTATTTTATTTTATTAGAATTATATATTTCTTTTTTATGATTTCCATATGATCGTAACACACGTAATAGTATTTTTATTAGTAGGCTATAAAAGATAAAATATAAAGAAGATTCTAAAATAATATTGTGATTAACAATTTTGGATGTTAATAATATTTTATTTATAATTTTCCGGAGTACAAAATTTTTTTAATTTTTGATAAAAAGCATCATACTCTCTTATGCTTATAGTAAAAATTAAACAATATAATGCATTATATAAAACTTAAATAAAGCTATTAAAAAGTAAATATTTTTTTAGATATTTTATATTGTATATATATCCTTTCTAATATTAAAGCATATAATATTTCATAAAGCATTTGTTTTTCGATGAATTTACCTTACTAGTTTTATACGTATTAAAGTAACATTACTTTTATAATTTCCATATGATCGTAACACACATAATAGTATTTTTATTACTAGGCTATAAAAGATAAAATATGAAGAAGATTCTAAAATAATATTGTGATTAACAATTTTGGATGTTAATAATATTTTTTTTATAATTTTCCGGAGTACAAAATTTTTTTAATTTTTGATAAAAAGCATCATACTCTCTTATGCTTATAGTAAAAATTAAACAATATAATGCATTATATAAAACTTAAATAAAGCTATTAAAAAGTAAATATTTTTATTTGATATTTGATATTTTATATATTCTTTCTAATATTAAAGCATATAATATTTCATAAAGCATTCGTTTTTCGATGAATTTACATTACTAGTTTTATACGTATTAAAGTAACATTACTTTTATACGCATAAAATAATAATAATAATAGAAAAATATAGAAAAACTGATTTATGCAAAAATGTTTGTTTAAGAAGAAGTGTCTTTCAACTTTCCATTATTATTTTTTTCCATTATTATTAATTGTAAGAAAAATATTTTCCACTTGAATAACATGAATCATAGATGCGCAAAAGTTATTTGTATAACAAACAATTATTAATAAACAAGATTATATAAGTAATGAGCATTTAATTGAAGTGTATTAATCTTTAAATTAATAAACTTACCCAAATCAATAAAAATATTTGATAAGTTATATATGTAATAATAACTACTATTCGTATGTTGTTGTAACTTGTTGTAACATGTCTTATTGTTAGCGGGCTGTGTGATGCCAGTCAACTTTAAAATGTTCCAGTTGAAAAATCTTTGGTGCTTCTTTAGTTCCAATAATCCAAATTCTTGAGCTCGTTTAAAAGTTCTGTCAAAAGCGGGTTGCCTCCTAAACGTTCTATCTCAGCTCTCGCTTTCACGTCCAAGTCTTCAAGTACATTTTTTGTGTACTTGAAAGAGCCAAATTTCTTCAACAATTTAACGCAATGACGTTTCAATTCGATTTCTCTGGTTCGTTGTTTCAAAATATCTGTATCAGGCATTATTAAGGAAATCTATATATAATAAAGTTCATTCACAAAAATATTTTTGTTGTAAATGAAAAAAAAAAATTATATAAAAGTATTTTATAAAGGATACATATTATTTGCTTATCATCAGGATTCGTTGTAAGCGCATGAACAATGGGAAAGCTGAACTTTCCTTCACTCAAGTCATCGCAATAACTCTTATTTTCGGTATACTATAACAAAAAATTACTTTAATTCTTTTCAGTTTATTTATGTATTATGTATAATGTCGCAGATATATTATTACTCACGTTATCGCTATACAATATGCCATAATCATCCCGTATTTGAAAGTGCAAACCCAAAATAATACTTAGCGATGATAAATCTTCTTTGTATGTTGAGAATAATGTCATTAATTTTACTATTAAATTAAAGAAACCACCAGCCTCTGCGAAATTAATTGATATTTTAATTTTTTTCATATGTAATTTTTTTAATTTTACGAAGAAATATGTATATAAGTATTAATATTGACTTTTCATTGCTATAGTACGGTATTCTCCCTCACTTGGACAAATAAGATTGTCCCGCCAAAAACTTTCTATTCTTTGACCTCTAAATACTTCCAACATTTGTTCCATATACACTTTTGTCGCCTGAAAAAAACGCGGTTAGTGCAATAATACAGCACCAGTTATATTTTATCTAACAAGCAAATATGAAGCTAATCTTTTACAATTTTAATGAGTTTTAATTAGCTTTATGTTATATATTATGCTATATATTAAAAAATCATAAAACATGTATTTCTAAAGATACATAAAACATATATTTTTAAGGATATATAAAACATGTATTTTTTTTAATGTTTTTTCCTTCAGTCAAGTTTTAGCAGTAACTTTTACTTTTCCTATACTATAACAAAAAATTAACTAAATTCTGCTCAGTTTATTTAAGTATGTATGATATCATGGACATAATTGAAGGAGTGCATTTGAATTTTGTATCTTTTAAAAATGTTATTTAAGCACTTAGAAAAGAGAATAAAAGATCTCTTATTTTCAACTTTTTTTGTGACTAAAATAATGCATAATGTGACTAAAGTATATTGCTTACTTACTTTTTTTTTATAAGTATTATGTGATTACTTACTGCAGGATGCAAATTAACAATTCTCTCCAATGCGATAAATAATAAATAGGTTGCAGCATTTAGTGAGCTAGCAATTCCATAAACAGAATGAGCGACAGGACTTCCTCTTCGCAAAATGGAATTATCTTGGATATCATCAATTCTGTAAAAAAAAAATAAATTAGGATCTTATAAAAATATATATACAGAATTACATTTTTGATATAAATTCAATTTTATACATCTAATATAAAAATAATAACATGAAAATAAATGTAATGTGAAAACATAAGGATTACATACTGAAATAGAACGTTAGTTATGACACATTAAAGTTTTGCTTCAATTTTGATAATAACAGCAATAGGCTCAGAGTGAGAACAATTAAGTGGAAAAACTAACAGATAAAAGCCAAGCCGCAGGTATCGAACTTATTATTGTTAAATTTTATTAAATAATGTGCATTAAAATTGTACGTTTTGGATCGTCTTTTGGTCCATCTTTGGTATAGATATAAATATATAAAAATTAAATTAGAATTTAAAAACTTGACATACACAACATTTACAGTTGCAGTCAAATTTCAAATTACTCTTTTTTTCCAGTTTCCTTATTTAAATGTTATTTTAGCTTTATGAAAGACTTAAAACTTTTTAGCTTTTGGCAATAATCAATGTTATTTGGCTTTCGGCTTTAGGCTAT